GCTGACGCCGCCGCGGCTCCTCGGCCGGGCCGAGCCCCGGTGCAGCGAGCTGGGGCCGCTGCTCCGCTGTGAAACGCTGCTCTCTCTCCCTGTCTCTCCCCGTCAGCCCGCTCCGCACTCGCGCTGTGTCCCGTTTTGACACAAGCCCGGGTCCGTGACACACACACACACACACACCTGTGCCTGTGCTCGCTGCCGCTACAGGCAAAGCAGGAGGACAAAGAGCATCAGAGAAGGGTGAGGGTCAGGGGGAAGGTGCAGCAGTGGAAATGAGCAGACAGGGCTTGAAGAGCAACCGTGTTCSGCAGGAGAGCAGCAGGGGCTTGGCCGGGCTCTGGCATCCAGCAGCAGCACGGCTGCTCTCTGCTCTGTGCACAGGGGATGTGACTGCACGCCTTGCAGGGCTCTTGTAGCCCCTGACAGGCTGGATTTCCATCTGCTGTATGGGCCAGCTCAGTTACAGTCTCTAACCATCTCGGAACTTCATCTATAGCTCTGTCTGGAAGTATCCAGGGGCAACCCGTACCTCTCTCTGCAGAGGGGTTTAAGCTCAGGCATCCTTTCATTCTGCATCCCACTTTTTCAGTGGAGTGGAAACTCTACAACCCTCCCTTGCATTTTGCATCAGCCAGTACTTCACCCATCTGACTATCAGCCTGGCCTGTCTGTGCAGGTATTACAGTTCCTGAGCAGGAAAAGAAGGAACATACAGCACTCAGGGACTCTTGACTTAGGGACCASTGCCAGTGGCAAGAGGTACAACCAGCCAAAACAGCTGGGATTAGCCACAGCTCTCATCAGAGAAGCAGTTTTTTATGCAAAGAGGGAAGAGGAGTAACCGTCTGTCACACCTAYAGGATCCTACCCTGCTACCAGCCAAAAAGCCTAACACTAAAAATGCATCACCAGCACCTCAGAGCCAGAGGGAAATGGAAACACTCGCTACCCCTCCACTTGCTGAACCACCCAAGCAAGGCCAGCAGTAAAGCAGGGGCACTGAGAACTCCCCAAACCACACTGAGCAGAGAGAAAGGGAGTGTGGTCTCATGTTCACTTTGTCTCTCAGAGTGGTGGCAGATCAGGCAGAGGCACTTAGTCCATTCTGAGAAGTGATTTTGGGCCCAACCCCTGCTTACCATGCAGCACGRCGTTTGTGTGGCAGCAATCTACTCCAGCTAGTAACAACAGCAACATGACATAAGCCCTGACAGCAAATGAAAGATGGGACCAAAGGGGATCAAACCTTTGAAACCAAAAGTTCTGAAACGTTTTTAAAACATCYTGTTAGAAACCATTTCTGCATGGGACACCACACATACTGCTYGAGTCCTGGAAGTATCTAAGGCCTCTGGACAAATGATTTCCTCAACGAAGTTCTGATTGGAGTATCACCCCTGCCCAAGAAAACAGCAGTGCCAGGGACAGCTCACACCAACCTCACTTAAAGACCCTCTGCTACAGCACTCCCCACAGCTGCTGCAAGCCACAAGCCTGGTACAGAGAACACCAACGATTCACAGTGAGTGTTTTTCCTTGGACAAAAGAGAAATAACACAGAAGACACTAATGGTTGTGGCTTAAGAATGGCATTTCCCATATTAGTGTTCCCATTAAAATACTCAAAACCACACGCTGCTCACTCCCCTCTCCCCCCTCTTCCCCTGTGGCAGGCTGGACAGAACTGGAGGCACAAAAGGTAAAGATCATGGTTTGAGACATGAACAATTTACTGGAAACATTAATGAGATAAGAAAACGAATAGTATAAGAGTGTAGAAAAGAGGCGACCGATTCACTTGCATTGCTCACCATGGATAACATGATTTTACCCCCACCACTCGCTTCCTGCAGCCACCCAAAAAGGACCCCTTCTCCCCATCCCTCCTCAGCCTCTTTCCCCTGATGCAACCCCTCCCCCTCAACTCTCCCCCTCCCCTTTGCCCATGCCACGATGTACAGGATAACCAGGCTCCTGGCCATGCCCTTCCTGGCTCCCTACAGAAATGAGCCCTGTCCTGGCCGCAGCCAGGACACTGCCACTCAGCACTACCAGAATGCAGCAGTCTGCTCAGTTCTTCTTGCTCTTGTTGCTGAACAGACTGACTTTGCYAGCAGATGCAACAGACAGAGAGGGAGACTCCAGCTTCACCTTGTCCAGCAAAGTTTTCTTTATGGCTGCTGGAGAAATCTGCTCTTGGTCGGCCAGATGCTGCAGCTCCCTGCAGTGGGGTAGTGGGAGAAGAAGACATAGAAAAAAGAAGATGGGGGAGGGTGGAGGGCAAGTTTTGCAATCTTTTAAAGACTTCATAGGTGCTCACCTTGTGCGGATACAGGAAGCCTCCACGGCATTGATGAGGAGTGAGCGAAAGCCACCACTCTCCAGGAAGTGCAGGGCATGGATAGTGGCCCCTCCCGGCGAGCAGACATTGTCCTTCAGCTGGCCGGGATGCTGCTCAGACTCCARCAGCATTTTGGCAGCACCCTGCAGCAAGGAAAACACCTGCAGAGCTCTGACTGAGGAAGCCACTGGCACGCACTCCTGTTCTCCACTGCACAGAGCACCAACACTCGCAGGCAAACCTGAGCTCCTGCAGGCTGCCAAAACACTTTTCAGAGCTGACAAAGCCTGCAAAGGAGCCAGAGTTTCCCAGGCACCAGCTCCCACACCAGCACCAGTGCCAGCAGATGCTGCAGACACTTCCTACAGCTCCTCMCCAGGAGCCCGTGTGCAGCCAAACCAAACGCATTCTCTAAAGCAGATTTTGTGAGAGGACCAAGATCATTTAAAACTTGGATGTGTAGATTCCTSTGCACAGAGCAGGCCCAGACTCAGATTTGTTATGGAGGAGGCAATACTGACCAGCAGAGCCTGTGCTCCCAGYCGAACTGCCAGCCTGCGGGGGAGGCCCATCTTCACTCCCCCATCCGCAAGAGCATCCAGGGCAGTGAACGCCTGAGASCAGAGAGAGGAACAAGGTGATTCAAAAACTGCTCCAGGACTGTTACACCTCAGGGAGGAGAGAATCCAGGGCTTTGGGATTGTGCTGTGACTCCTGTCACTTACAGACTTGACAAAAGCTTCTCCCCTGTACTGCACAGATGCCATGCCAGGCTTCCCTCTCACTAGTTCCAGCTCAGGAGAGTGGGGAATGGGACAAATTCAGCTTCTACATCATGCTAACTGCAGGGCCACSTTTTGCAACATGGACATACAGACACTGTACACTGGCTGCACACTTCAAACTTATCTGACTGGTAACAAAATTTTCCTGCTGTCCCAAACTGGGCACCTGGACTGCATGTCCCTCTACAAATTTGGGTGATTGGAAAAACAAAAAAATTACAAAGTGAAGTAACACAGACTTTACGGCACGCAAAGCCAACTGCTCTCCCCAAGAGTGTCACAAGCTGCAGAAACAGCACATACATACGCCGGGCCACTGCCACTGAGCCCTGTTACAGCATCAATCAGGTCCTCCTCCACCTCGGTGCAGAAGCCCACACTGGCCATCAGCTGTTCCAAGAGCTTCCCATCTTCCACATCCGCATGAGTTCCAGTGGCATAGACTGTAGCACCTTCCCGGACAATCACAGGGGTGTTGGTCATGCACCTGATCACTTTTGGTGTGGGGCAGAAGGTAGAGAGTTTCTTAGGGCAGAAAATCATTGGAGACAGAAAGTAAGAAAAAAAGGAAAGAAGGGAGAAAAATGAGCTTTAGTACACATTTTTCATGAATGGGCTGTCCAGGAAAGGACCCTGTAGGGGCCAGAACAACACAAGCAGAAGGAAAAGAGAGACCTGTGTATCTCAGATGCCCTGCTTTGAGCCACAGTAGCCCAAACRTGAATGTGAAGCCTTCAGCAGTACCAGCAAAGCAGGAGCTGGGCAAAGCCAGTTTGGGAACASTATGCCAAAGGCCTCAATGCCACAKCAACACACAGATTTCCAAAACAGATCCTGCAGACACTTTAGCATAAAATCTGAAGAAATCCAGAGATGAACCCCTGCTGTTGAGAGAAACATGATCGGACAGCACCTCATGTAAGGAAAGTGCTGGATAAAACCTCTAATAGCATTATCTAACGAAGACAGGCAAGGATGACCGAAAAGAACCCGTTGGCTGCGGCTGCGTGACTATTCCTGAGGAGCACAAATGAGCTCTGTCCCTTGTGCCGGCTCCTGGGGCAGAGGAGCGGCTCCAGCTCACGGCCCCGGCCCGCTCACCTTCTCGATGGAGCTGATGGTCACACCGGCCGCGCACGAAACCACGATGTGCCGGGCCTCGATGTCGGGGCCCACCTCCTCCAGGATGAAGGGGATGATAGGCGGCTTCACGGCCAGGAAGAGGACATCGCTGCTCTTCACCGTGTCCTTGTTGCTTACCGTGAAGTTCACTCCCATTTTCTGCACCGATTTGGGGAGAAACGGCACCGCTCAGGCCCGGGGCCGCTCGTGAGGGGAGCGCCGSCACCCGGTCCCCGCCAGCCGGCCGCACTCACCCGCAGCCCGGTCACGGTGGGCAGGTCAGTGTCCGGGGAGCTCGCCGTGATCTTGTGCGCAGCCAGGACCCCTGCGAACGGCAGCGCGCATCAGCCCGGGCCATCTCCGCCACCCGCCCCGCGCCCCCCTGCCCCCGTGCAGCCCCCGGGCCCGCGGTGCCGCACGCACCCGCCCCCCTGCAGCCCCCGGGCCCGAGCGAGGATGAAGCGGCCCGCGTGCCCGCACGCACCCGCCGCCGTGAAGCCGCGGGCCAGGGCGAAGGCGAGCTGCCCCGCGCCGATGAAGCCCACGCTCATGGCCGGTACCGCGCACACGCCGCACCCGCGCCGTACACGTGGCCGCGCACAGGGGGCGGGGCCGCACGCCGGGGCGCGGGCGCGCAGCCAATCGGCGGGCGCGGRGCGAGGCGGCGCCGCTCCTCTGGCCAATCAGCGATCAGGGGCGGGGACAGCGGGGCGGCGCTCGCCAGCGATTGGGGCAACCGGGCCCGAGTGTTGCATCATTCGCGCTGCCCGGGGCCGTGTGCTGTGCTGTGCTGTGCTGTGCCGGCAGGGGGCGCTGTGCTCCCGCCTCATCCCGCGGGGAGCGGAAATGCTCCGAACCATTAACAATTAACAATTAATAATTAACAATTAACAATTTAATATCAATCTATCCAGGGTGGAATCCAGGGGAACTGTCTAGATGGGCTGCAGCCACAAATCCGTAATTCTCAATGAATGCATGTACTTCCTAACAGCAGTTTGCCARAAAAGGTTGGGACTGGTTGGTGATTCGGGAAACCTGATTCATGGCGAGCTACTTGATCATCATCTATTAAATAAGAGGGTAGATACACTCTGGAAATGAAGGGGGTTTGGTGAACTGAATCATGACAGAGCCGGTTGGTAAATCCTGCTGAGCAGATATCAGATGTTCTCTGTCCTGGATTGGGCAATCTCATAGTTTCCAATGGTTGGGGAGTGTTTTAACCACTGAAGCATGAGGTTTTGATTTTTTTTCATTATTTTTTCCTCCTAAAACAGAAGATTGTTGTCCACCCAATTTTTTTTTCTTTGCCATTTTGACCATATTCACATTTTTTGCTCAGTCTTTGGCTGGCAGATAAGAAAGCTAAATCTGAACACACTGTTCTTGGCAATGACTTGTGTTTCCACTCCTCCAGTCAGTGGGATCATGATTTCCATGTTAAATTCTCTTTCTTCCTTATTTGAAGGCACTCAATTTTGCCCTCCTTSTTTCCCAGGCACCGGTTTGTCTCCGGCCCTTTGTCCCTGGCTCAATAAGTTGCATCCACTCGTGTCATTGGCAGATTTTACCATGTTTCTGCTCTTGCTCCTGCTTGGTGCAGACTCTTCCCAGCAGGAAGCCAGCAGYGCGTGGCTCAGCACACACTGTCAGCCGAGGAGCTTTCCAGGACTGCCATTGCAGAGTGACGGGTGTGTCACTGCAGGTCCAGCACTTCCCCTGCCCCTGAGCTCCTGACCCTGTCCCAGCCCCTCCAGAGCCACCAGAGCCTGCAAATGGGGCTTTCCACAAGCACTGTTCCTGGCCTTCTGGCTTCAATTCTACAACAAAATCTSTGGTGGCTTCACAGGCACCTGCTTGGTTTTTAGTGATCTGTAACAACAGATTAATAACAAAAAAGTAAGTAAGTTTTAAGTGTGACACAGTTTAATTTGTCCACATTGATGGGTTTAACAGAAATGCATCATAAATGCTCATGGTCCATTTGTGTGCAGTGGCTCTTTATAAATTGACTCCTCCAACACAAGTGAATTTTCCAAGTAATCATTTTGTATTTGTACAACSCATAATTTGTTTGAGTGGCAAGAAWTAAAGCTCCTGGTTTATATCTATAACAGATAGCCTTGTATCTTGCTCTACCAGCCTCCTGTTGGACCACATCTTCCAGATTTCCCGCTCTTCACTGGGACTCACAGAAGAGAAAACCCCCTTGGAAGGCTCTTCCTTTGTGCTGGATCCAGTTCTTGTCCCATTTCCTGGCTAATGCTCTCCACTGCTAAGGGCTGGTCCTTGTTCGGAATTATTTAGCATAATCTGTCCCAACAAGTTTTCCCTTTGCTTTTCAAAYCCCACACAAAGCCCTGATAAAAAGTAAGAAAGTAAGTTTCCTTCCTTGTTCCTGAGTCATTCTGCTGCCAAGAATCCACTCAGAGCTCTTGCTGTCTTGGGTCTGTACATTTTTGGGTCTGTGTTCAYGCTTTGTACATCAAAATAAAGCGAGCTCTGCTTTCAGGCAGAAAGAGCCATGTCTGCTGCAATGAAAGGGTAGAGAGCAGGGTGACAGCACACAGATCTCAGGAGATGTATGTGTACATCTGCCATTCAGCTTTATTTTAATTTGGTTTAAAAATCTTGCTTCTGACAGGCAGCTACTGGAGATTTTAATCAAAGCACTTGAGTCTGCATGTGCTGCACAAGCACTTGGACACTCTGGCTTCTCYTTGGCACAAACGAAGATTCCTATGGAGCCTGAAATCGGAGCTGAGAAGTGTGGAGCTTCAGAGTGGGTGTTTTGTCAGAGACAGGTCCCAGAAATSCAGTGAAGCAGAGTTCTCAGGAATCCTGAGCTGCTCTGGGGTACTGTGTGCAAGTTCTCTCATGTCCTGTCCTGTCCATGGCCCTTCCCTGCCCRGTTTGGTCTCTTGTGCAGCACTGTGGGATCAGTTAAGTTTCTGCCTCCCCTTTCCCCCCAGAATTTATCATCAAGCTTCAAGGAAAAAACCCTTAACACCATTATAAAGAAATTACGGCCCATGAACCAAAACAGAGCATGTGCCAAGGTACTTTCTGTGCTGCTCAAGTGAGGATGGCARGTGGGCTCTGCTCTGCAGATTCTCAGCAATAGAGCCCTGACTTTACAAATTTTCATTTCTGTACTGACTCAGTTTTGCTAAATAGGAATATCCTCAGCCTCCTCCAAGGTGTGCACTTGAGGATATTCCTTTTCTGTGCCAGACAGCAAAGGAGAGGAAGGGAAAGGACTGGTAACCTTCAAAATACCGTTACTATGATGTYCTCAGAAACACCCAGATTGGAACTGCCCACACTTGCAGGCATTCCATATCTAGTGCACAGCCCAAACTAACCCAAACTCCGAGGGGTTTATTTTCATCTCCAGAGCTGGTGTTCCTTCATGCAGCTTTTAACTTTCCCACTTCCTGAGTAGTCACTTGGTTACCATTAAGCACTGATTGACAGTTTCAAAATCCTTGGTGTCTTTGCTAATATTTGGCTCATTGGCCCGGTGGCCTGTAGCCCTGCTGCTGTGGCTACAAATGTTCCTGCTGTCTGCAGATGCAGGTGGAGCTGTGTCATTCCTTCGTGCTGGGCCTAGGCAGCTGAGGCAGGATCATGGGGGAGGTGGGCTGTGCTTTGCATCCGCTGCAGCCCACCTCCTCCAAGTCATTCATTTGTGAGCACAGTCAGTTCTCACCTTGAAGTCTGGCTGATGGTTTTGTGCGCATGCCGACCCCGTGCCTTCCTGCCCCACACCCYGTCCCTGTGCACCCGCAGTGGTTTGCTGCGCTGGGATCCTCCACAGAGGCTGAGACCAATTCAGAGGTGTGAGACAAAGCGGATGCGCTGCGAGTAGGCCAGGTCTAACACGTAGAGCAGCAGGTTGACGTAGGTGAAGATGGCGATCACCAGCTGGCTGTCCCACGGGCACTTGCCCTTGGCACAGAGGCCAGGACGTTGTGGGGAGCCGTACTTGCTGTCAAAGCAGAACACCGGCCAGATGACCGCAGCACTCACGTAGAGCAGCACAGCCCCAAAGGTGTAGATGACCACRGAACGCTCAAAAGGGAACCACAGCAAGGCAGTCTTACCTGTGACACTGAAGGCCACTACCACCACTGTCACCACAAAGCAAAAGCTGTAGACAGCCACACACCACTGTGTCGCCACGTATTTACCATACTGGCTGTCGTTCACCAGCGCCCCAAAGATGATGCAGGCCACAAAGGCCTGAACGATCTTCAGGAGGCCGGAAATAGTGGCCATGTAGCTGGTGACTTGTCCCGGCTTTGCCCKGGTTAAGAAGACCTCGGTGGCGTAGGCGACGAACAGGAGGCCAGCGAAGACGCTGGCTGCGATGCGGAAATCTCTGACCTGGCAGCCGATGGGGTAACAGCCCACCTGCACGAAGTAGAGCGGGTAGATCACCGCAGCTGTGATGGACATGAGCGTGGCCAGCATGGCAAAAGCAGCCGTGAAGTTCCCCCAGGAGAGGCTCAGGCAGCCGTGCAGGTGAGTGAACTCACAGGCGATGATGAACACAGTGAYGGCAAAGCAGAAGGTCCAGACAAACATGCAGAAGGTGCCATAGGCGGCACTGAAACCCCCTTGGTGGGCGACCAGGCTGAATGTGGTACATCCGAAGGTCATCTGCAGCAATCGAGCGATTCCTACAGGGGAAGTCACCGCGGCTGTGTTCAGATACGGCCCTCCCGTGCTCTCCATTATCTTTCCGATCCAGCAGACAGCGCACTCAAAGCCTCCTCAAATGTCCTTCCTCGCTTTTGCACCTTTGCCCTGAGTCACACCTGGTCGCAGCTGTGTGCAGTGGCAGCTCAAACGCTGCTGCTCTGTGCCGGCAGCAGTGGGAGCTGCCTGTGACGCTGCATCTCTGGCAGCTCTGCACAGACCTGCGGCTGCAGGGAGTGTCTGCCTGGCTCTGCCCACTGCCTGCGAGCTCAGGGTGCTGCCGCTTGCTCTCTGCTTCCCCAGCTCTCAAACCTGCTCCTGTGCTCTCCTTTGGCTGTCTCCTTTCCCGCAGGATGGTGCTTGCCCTGGAGGCTGACATTTATTCCATTTTAGCTCCGCAGCTGTAGCTTTCTGCTGCACCGTTCACAGGAACCTGGAGTATAAATAGGGGCTTTATTAATAGTTCTGGAATGAGTCCTGCCCCCACTCAGCTGTTGGGAGCGGGTGTTATTTAACACTGAAGCTGAAAGCTCCATCAAAGGCTCTTGATTATCCTTCTGCTGTTCTTCCAGAGRCTCTGGGGCCACTGGAATGCCGCTGTTCTCCACACAATTCCCTGCGCCGAGGGGAGGGGGCTGCTTTCSACAGTGGCTGTGATCCAGCTCGATCCTGCAGAGCCAAGAGCCCCTGAGTGGGGACACAAGGCCAAAGGCAGCACAAACCCTATAAAAGAAAGGATTTAGGCCAGAGGCTGGATAAAAGCTGACTCACTTTGCTGCAGTTGATCTGGAGCAGTGATACATTTACCTGCTGTGCTTGGTGTGACAGCTTGTGGCTGTGAAGGTTTACAACATCCTCAACATTTTCTTAAAGTCCTCCCTCTCTTTTACCTTTTGTGGAAATCTTTGTTTTTTTCTTGTATCTCTGAATGCAATAACCAAATACAATTGTTTAAAAAAACTCCTGCTGTGATATTCTTAGCTCTGTTTTGGAACACAGGTTTCAATATATAGTGTCAAACCCTCCCTCCTGTGGAATCAAAGTTTTCAMCGTAAGCCATTCCAGGTATACAGTGCCCCCCAGACTTGATCTCTACCCAGAAGTCTCTTAATTCTACCTCTAAAAGCCCCAAACAAAATTTCTGATGTAATTTCAGAATGGGAATGGGTGAATGCTTTCACCACAACATAGAAAAATYCCTCCCTTACCCCACAGCAGCGCTGCTGACTCCTCACCTGCAGTGCTCAACCCAGTGTGGAAGCAGAAAAACTTCATTGCTTACATGAGAATACAAATTTTGTGGCTGTAATGATAAAATGTGCCTACCTTCAGCTTTCTCACCGTCTTGTAACCTCAGTGTTTCTTTCATTCATCTCAAGTCCCTCCCATTTTCCTTAGAAAGGCCTCTGGTGCTAAAAGTACAAAAGTCCGCATTCATTTGGGATGGAAGTTGCACAATTAACATCACAATGACCAGGAAATGCAGCAGGAGAGGAGAGGAACTCCAGGTGAACAGATTCTCATCTTGAAATCTTGCTCTTCCTGACTCTCTCTGTCACTTTTCCAGCCCTCACTGGCAGTGGGTCACAAAGAATTGTGRCACTTTCTAGTGCAGCACTTCCATCTGCCCAGGGAGCAGCAGAAGGCACAGGACACTGCCTGGCAGGGAGCTCTGAGGACACATTGCCCGGGGTGATGCCGGGGCTCGGGCAGAGCTGCTCCTGCTGCTGTTTCTGCATTCCCGAGGGAAGTGGTGCCCTCTCAGCACCTGAGYCAGGGCTGGCAGAGAGCAAAGGCCCCCAAAACCACACTGCAGGAGCAATGCACCACACACACCACAGCCACTCTTCCCTCAGAAACGAAGAACGTCATCTAGTCAAAAGATCACAGAATACAAACACATGGCACTGAATTCTTCCAGCTTGACCATTTGTCATTGGCTTCTGCACAGCAGAAACAGATGAGAAACATAATCAGGACAATTCTACTTTTATACCCAAGTCATTAAAACATAAAGGATATCRGTAATTTCCAAACTGATCATAGGGAAACTCCACKGATGTTTCCTGCTTTTCAGTTCCACTGAGAGCACCAATGATTTTCTCTTTGGTTTTTTCTTTATCTTCCATCTGTGTTAATCTGATCATGCACAGGAGGACGGCTGATTGTGGTGGTGTGTGTGGTCCTGCCCAACTTTTCCTGAACTCTAGGAAAAGGAACCAAAGGGCTACAGTTTGGGTAATTTTTTGGGTTTACTCACCCAAGACAAGGGATCTCACAAGCAGCACCACACTTCTAACCTGGCAAGCTTTGTCTTGGAAGTACAAGGAATTTTTCTAAAACCAGGCCCAAATTCTCAGTGGCCTCCACGTTGTGTAACCGTGCACACAAGTGCAGGCACACACAGTTGGTGCCAGGACTTGGTGCAGGAGGAATTTGCAGCTGTGCAGCCTGTGCAGGTCTCCCCATGTGCTGAAGCTGCTCCCACCCAGGAATGGTCTCCTCTGCAGCCTCAGTCGTGCATTCTCCACCCCTCCCTTCTTCTCCTCCCACCACCATCAAAGGGATTCTCTATGCTGACGTGGGTGTGTTCCCAAAAGTCTGGAAGAGAAATATGTTTGGTATTGTCTTGTGCTCTCTGCCTTTYCTGCTCCAAACGCTTCTGATGCTCTGACCAAACCTGTCCCTCACTGCAAGAGAGGCCTTTGCTCCAAAGCCAAATCTCCCTCCACCTTACAGTGCAGTGCCCTGGACTGTCTGGGSAATCACAGTCAAGCCAAAAATGCTGTGAAAGTCTGCTAACATCAGGTGCTGGGTGGAAGTCTCAGGACTTTATATTACAACCTCTTCATCAGAGAAACAATGACAAGGTACACTGCAAGGGGAACACAGAAGTCTAATTAATACAAAATTTCAACACCATCCTTAGCCCTCTCCCAGGCACAAATGACCATCAGGATAACCCATCCAAATGAGCAGCATATACAACTTTACAAAGATATAGGTATGGTTCTCTGGTCAGCCCTTATAAATAGCRTTTTACATATTAAAATAAATATGTCCACATTGCCAAAGTAGCAAGAGGTTTCTTCGTTATTTAAAAAAAATATGTTACAATATCATTTATATTTCTTGCTTAGTTTAAAAAAAGTAATAAAAAAGTCATTCTATAAAATAATACGAATAAAATGAGTACAAGAGTGTCCATCCCTAGCACATGTCCTGGGTCTGTATACTGTGACTCAGCATGAGATGCTAACCTCCAGGAAGTCATGTAAGCATTCCTTCACTTCTAGTTGGACGAAGAAATCCAGTGCTTGCTTTTTTCATCACTTGTAACAAGTCTATGATGTAAAATTCATGGCAAGGGAAGATGTCCCAGAYCTGGGGAAGGTTCTCATTGCTGCTATTTATGGCTTTGCTAGTCCCTGTATCTGATTGCCTTGTGTAACACAGGAAGAGGATGTGACCGGCTGAAACTGAGCCCTGGAGTCTGGAGGGAACAAGTTCAGCCAAACAGTGTAAGCAAGACAAGAAACTGCTGCCTTTTTGTGTGTGTGTGTGTGTGTGTGTGTGTGTGTGTGTGTTTTTGTTTGGGTTTTCTTGTCGGTTTGTTTTGGGTTTTTTTGTCTTGTTTTGTTTGTGTGTTTCTTTTTTTGGTTTTTGTTGTTGTGGGGTTTGGTTTTGTTTTGGTTTGTTTTTTCGTTCTTGACACACTGTAAGTGTGCAAGAGCATGGGGGCAGTGAGTGCACAGGTGTGAGTGTGCATGGATGAGCATGCATCTGCCTGCAGGAGCATTGAGAAAGAGGAGCAGGGCTGAGAGTCTCTCTGGTCCTGATGCAATCTCTGCCCCTCTGTAATCCCAGCCCTCCCTAGTTACCACTGCTGAGCATCCCCAGGAGTTTGCTGGGCTCCAGGCCCTGCTGCTGTGCCATCTTCTGAACGTCAAAGCCCATGTGCATCAGGAACTGGATCACATTCATCTCCTGTCCTGTGAACTGGTCCCTGATTGTGGGGCACGAGGGGTTGCAGTGAGGCCATGGGCAGCTGTCRATCAGGTGAATTGGGCAGCCTTTCAGAGGAGCCTTCCCATTCTTGTTGCTCTCATGGAGGCTCCGATCCCAACAGTGCAGGGCACGGGGCAATGACGTCCCCTTCACCTGGATGTCAGTCCAGTGACTGAAACAAAGCACAYAGATCACATCAGAGGGATGTGGCTGCCACCACAGGGCATTCCCAGCCACAGCCCTGTCACCTCTCACAGCCTCTGCACCAGCACTCACTTGCGTGTGATGATCTCGTGCGACAAACAGGCAGGAGCAAAGCTCGCGCTGAAGGAAAAAAARCAACGTGAATTATGTCCTGAAGGACAAAGTAACTCCTGCTGAATCAAACCTTCCAGACTAGGGTGGAATTTTAYACAAAAATGAAGAAGGCAAGAATGCTGATGTAGATGAACTAATAGTTACCAAAATTACAACACACATTTTTCAGCAGAGGTCTGAGAAATGATCCTAGGACACTACATAGGAATGTCCCTTAGAAACAAATTTGCCAGGTTTTTCCCAATGAAACACTTACGTCACATCCTTCAAGGTGTTTCTCAGCTCCCTACCCAAATTCTGGATGTAGAGCCACTGCCCTTCCTGAACAGGCTGGCCAGTTAGGTGTACATTGTCCACAGTAAGCTGGGCCTCATCGAAGAGCCACTGCACAACAAAGACTGGGCCTAGAAAGACAAAAAATTGGAAAAGGRATTGCTCCAAGTGAGTTGCAGATACAGAGGAAACCCTAAATCAGTTTGATCTCTCTCCGCTGGTACTTACAGCGAAGAGTGGGGTAAATCTTATATCCAAAAAAACAATTCCATTCCTCTCCCTCTTTGAACTGCAGCTTACAGCGTTCGGGAACAATGCCATTCCAGTATCTAGGAGACAAAGCAAGAACAGAATGGGATGCACAGGGCAATCCTAACAATGTGTGCTCTCCRTATCCCAGTTTGTTTCTGTTCTGATTAGAACAATTGTCCAATGATGGACAATTCTGTCCMATCAACACATTTTAGAGCATCTACAACTGTACACATTCTTTTGCACATTTAGACTTTACATTATTGTCCTTTCCACTAAAATCACTGAAAGGTCACTGATGTAGACAACAAATAYTCCTTAAGTGTGAAAATGAAGGAACACAGGAAAGAAGGACATAATCTCCACACTCTACCCTGTTACAGTAGTGCACTTTAGAGCATCTGACTGTACCTGATTCCTCTTCTGATGGCCTCTGTTGGAGCACACGTTATGGTATCAATACAGTCAGTTCTGCGATACTGTTTGTTATCCAGGAACCATCCAGAGTCTGCCAAGCCTCGAACCTGAATGCCTTGATAACCCATCTCCTCCAGCTGCTCTGCCACTCGATCCACRTTCAGGAGAACTCCTGTCCCTCCAGCACTGCAACAGCAACACCAACACTGCAGTCATGAGGTGCACACAGGTTACAGACCTTGCCAGCAGACACACCTTTAACAGTGACACACCACAAACACCCTCATTACCACAGCAGAGCCACCCAACCATTCACTGTGAACCTGGCAGACACCACATTATGTCCTTGTTCTGCAAAACTCAGAAAAAAGCCAGTGCTGAGTAACAATCTGGTAGCTCAGAAACAAAGTCCTRTTGTCACTCTGTTTCCTGGGAGAGACGTGTGCTCTGTACCATTTGCAAGGAGGTTTGGCTGCTCAGAAACTGAAAGAATCTGAAGTGAGATAAATTCACTCTTTGCCACTTCTCTGTTACCCCCCTGCACAATACACACTGAGTGTACAAGAGCTTTGTGCAACACAGGACAATCCAGTGTGTGAGGCAAGTTGGGTTTTTATTTCAGTGTCCTGAATCAATTCACGGGAGGTGTCTTATGATGTGGGCCAACAGCAACCAGCAWTCTTGATGCAGAGGAAAAGGCAAAGCTTTGTTATTCTTTTCTCAGTTTCCTCTTAAGTGGACCTGGACCAGAAACTGATGAAATAATACTGTATCTCTTAAGGAGAAAACTGATCAGACACAGGGTTTGCTCTGTGTTACTGTACTCCCAGARGAAATGTTTCAGAAGCTGCTGAGACCTCCTCCCTAACAACCTTCTACTGTGGAAATGTCTTCACCAAAGGGAATCTCGTGGATACCTACCTGCTCCCTGCTAGCAGCAACACTTTTGCAGTGCTCAGACCTTTTCCCACCAGTTCTTTTATAACCTCCTGTATGATCAGTGCTCCCATGAAGGCATATTCATCTGCAAGACAGCTCAGTGTAAATAAAATTGCTTCCTGTCCAGGCTCAGACTCTTACTTCCTCTCCAAAAATGCTTAAGAACCTTCCAAGGTGATTATAAACCTAAAGTCAGGCTCATTTTATCCACCCATACCAAATACACCTAACTAAAGATTGTCCCCCGCCCCATACAAAACTTCCTTCCCTGAAAGAGAATAGAGTGAACTGAATRTATAATTACAAAAACACATTCCTGACAGTGCTTAGAAATGAGTAAACTTAAAAAAGAAAAACAAGGAAGGTGCTGGAGGAACATACACACATCTTCCTACCACCTGGAATCTGTGTTTCAACTTACTGCTTCCCCTTTTTCCCAATTCACCAAGCCAATTCAGAGAAGCAATGCTTCATAAGATGTTAAATGTATACAGACACAGCTTCCTTGGCACCACCAGCATCTGTGGCTGCTGATGGGCAACTGCTCCACAGGAACAGCCCAAGGAGCTGGGATGAAATGGAAAAGTCCCTCACTGTGACATCAGCAGATGACAGCTGATGGCAATGCACGTGTTAGGATGAACGATGCTGTTTCCCACAGAAACCTGTGGACAGCTTTAGCTCCACATACGATGGCTCCTGCCTAAGGCCAAATATCCTCCTGATGGAAGTCTGACACTAAATTCAAAGTGCTGCCTCTCAGCTCAGCCATGCCCAAGCTACATGCAACAGCCCATGGTCCTTCAGCTACAGCAATTAATTTGCTGCATGCTGGAACCTGGAGATTCATCTCAAAGGAATTCTGTTCCTCTAATCCTTGCATCAGTGTAACATCTCCGCAAGCAGTGGCTTTGAACTATGTCAAAACAGCCCGAGCTAAAGAGATCAGGATGTTTTATCTGGAAGTAGCTTGATATTCTTTCCTGCCCTTCAGCAAGAAAAAGCCTGTTTCTCATCCACGTGGTTTCACAGAAGTCTGGCCACATCCTTTAATGTGTGATGTCTGGGGCAGCAACAGCCCATCAGCAACACTCACTTTTCTCAGACTTAGAAGAGGCACCACTCCAAACATCACTTGAGCAATAAGGGATGAATCTGCAAGAGAGAGCTGTGTGAGTCCTGCTGTGCCTCTGACGTGCACAACAGGGTGAGGACGGGTTCACCTAACTGGAAGAAAATTAAATCCTGGGAAGGGGAAAAGGGAAGAGTTTCTGTCTACTTTGAACAACTTACCTTCCTGCACACCAAGKGACAACTATAACTGTATTGAACTTTTCCCTGACACTAGTAGTTTTACTGAGTTAAATCAATAAATAACATGCATTTTATCAATCGAATTGAAGTGCTAAGCTGAGTGGACAGAACGATGGAGCACGACTTTGCTCTCAGCTATTCTGCCATCACAGTGGATGGCAGTGATGTGGCGTGTCACAGGGCAACTCTCTATGCTTCAGGTTTTCACATGGAAAATGAGAACACTCCTGTCAGTGCAGTGTAAATGCTGACTGCAACCACTCGAGATTTTTGCAGGAATTAACTTCCCGTTTTTGTCTCTGTCTTGCAGATCTCTTCTATATAGACACATATATAAACTGGTCTCATTTGTCTTCTTTGAACTAGCAGAACTGGTCCACATTATTTTCAAATTGTCAGATGTGTAACACMCTATCAGCCCACCACTTGCAAAGGATTCACCACTGCAACTGTTTGAGAAGGCTCTTTAAGCTATCCCCAGTTTTTCTCCATTAGATCACCCCATAACTCTAAGGAGACAGAACCAAAGTTTCTCTGGACCTTGTCAGCCGTATTTGTTACAGAGCTGAACAGCAGCAAGTGAGAAAATACACAATTCCCTCTTCCAAGTATTAGTCTTAACCTGTCTCTGCAGCACTTTTGCTAGCCTAAMAGGCAGGAGATGCTGTTTAAGTACACAACTATTTCCCTCCGTTGTCCCTCCTTACACCATGTTTGCATTCCACCAGTGGGGATTTTCTTCTGGCTGAGAGGACAGGATCCCAGTTCCTGCAGACAGCACAAAGAAACAAGAAACATACAGATGACAGTCTGTCACTTCAGAGGAACTGTAGAAGCCTCATACAAGACCTCTGACCACACAGAAAACAAACATCCATGATGAAAAACATTGGCAAGGGAAGTGGAAGGAACATTTCTAAATTTGCCCTTAGGCAGATTTGACATTCAGAATTTGATTCATGCTACAGATGAAGCTCGTCCAGGAGCTTCTTGTRATAAAGAAAACCCTTGTGATGCCCATTTTTCCTGAAAAACAAATCCTAGCAGGTAAATTCCAATATACTCAATTAGACGATCTGTGCGAGTGACAGAGGTTTGGGCGCCCAGGAGGCTGGAGTACGAGCAGAGAACCAAGAGGGAAGCACTCATAATGGGCGATACCTGTGCACCAAAACGCCTGCCCGGCGCGGGAGCATCAGCGGCAGGACCGGGCACCTGCCAGGGGCGCTACCTGAGCCCGGTCCCGCTCCCTCCGTGGTGCCCCAGGGGTGGAGGGGACAACTCACCCACGCGGGTCGCGGGCCACTCCCGCGAGCTCATCAGCCGCCGCATGGTATCGTAGCGGGTGTCGCAGTTCTCCCTGTTGAAGCAGTACCATCCTCCTGGCGAAGGGAGAGCAATCAGCCGCCCCAAAGGGCCAGGGGTCCGCGGGCGAGGGACAGCGGCCCTCAGGGGCGGGGGCACCAGGGCAGCCTCGGGTCGCCGCCCCGCTCGTAGCCGCCGTTGCGGAATCGGGGGCGGCAGCGCTCACCTTCCAGGAACAGCAGCCAGCGCCGACTGCCTTTGGACTCCTTCAGGTARTAGCTGCGGGCACAGACAAGGGGCAGCGCCTAAGCGGGAGCCGGAGCCGGCCACAGCGTTCCGGTGCCCGCGGGGCCGCGGAGAGGCGARGGCGGCGCCAGCCCGGGAGGCGCTCGCTGCACCTGTCGCCGCCGGTGCCGCTGGAGCCGCGCGGTGGCGCCGCCGCCCTCGGGGCCGGGCCGGGGGGAGCAGCGGCGGCCGCTCGGGGCAGCCCCGGGGCGCTCGGGGCCGGCGGGCGCGGGGACTCACCCGGCCGGGCTGCCGTCGTTGCAGGTGACCGAGGCGTTGTGCAGGAGGTGCAGGCGCAGGTCGTGCGGCAGTGCCTGGGCCGAGCAGGGGTACAGCGACTGCGCCAGGCTCTTGACCTGCGCCATGAAGCTGTCCATGTTGCCCTCCACGGCGGTGAAGTCCAGCGGGAAACTCTCGGCCGCCGCCGCCGCCG